CAAGAAATGTAGAAGCCTCATAAAAAGAAAAATTTTAAAAGCTGTTGAGGGAAACGAAAGAAGACTTGGACAAATGGAAAGGCATACTTTGTTTTTGGACATAAAGACTCAATTTCACAAAGATATAAATTTTATACATAACCTATAAATTTAATGTAACTTCAAAGGAAATGCTAAAAGAATTATTAACACTAGCAAAGAAATTCTAATGATTAGATGGGAGAAAAGACATGAAAGAATAACCAGAACAAATTCTAAAATTCAACAACTAACTTTTTCTAGAAGAGGAGTGGTCATCGGTACTGAGAATCAGTTGTCCCTTCACTGGACAGAATTTCCATGACTATGGAAAATATCATTTGCGTTGCTCTTGGTTATCTATAATTTATGGAGTAAAACAGCTCAAAGACATGGAAAGGCTGAGATAACCTGGATAAATGAGCTAGACAAACACCCACTATCTTTTTTTGTCCATTTCCAAGCATTCATGATTTTTTCTGACAATATTCCCTGACCCCTGCCTTGTGATTATAATAATTATAAAAAAGAGAGAGAAAAAATTATTTTGTGATTGAAATAATCCTGACATTAGATTTGGCTTGATTATTAATTATGGGTAAAGGAAGAATGTTAATTTACTGCTTAGGTTTCTTTAAATTTGCTTTACCAAATCAAGAGCCATACAGTATTGAAGCATGACAAAATTAAGTTCTTTTTGGAAGTTCTTAAAATGAATCTTACATTGGGCTTTTCTTTTACTTTTTCTTTGAAACGGTGTCTCACCCAGGCTGGAGTGCAGTGGCACGATCTCGACTCACTGCAACCTCTGCCTCCCAGGTTCATGCGATTCTCCTGCCTCAACCTCCCAAGTAGCTGGGATTACAGGCATCCACCACCATGCCCAGCTAATTTTTGTATTTTATTAGAGATGGGGTTTTGCCATGTTGACCAGGCTGGGTTTGAACTCCTGACCTCAGGTGATCCACCCACCTAGACCTCGCAAAGTGCTGGGATTACAGGGATGAGCCACTGTGCCCAGCCCTCACATTGGGCTTTTAAAAGCCTCTTTTATTTGTGATCTTGAAGCTAGGAAAGCAAACCCAACAAACCCTACCCAATATCACCTGTAATATCTATAAATGTGTGGGAATTTCTCTCTTCTTGAGGTACTCCCAATACCCTAAAACTTCTGGTCAGCCAGGAAGAGACCTTCTTCACATCTGTAAGGCCAAGGCACCCTGTAAGCCAGGGAATAACTGGTTTTCCTAAGAAAGTTTTGTAAGGCACTAAGTTTCTGAGTTTCTGAATATATTCTTAATATATTTCTGAGATTCTTAATATATTTCTGGATTTTTAATATATTTTTGAGTTTTTGTAAAAGTAATTTATTTAAGTATAGCACATTTAAAACATTTGCAGTTCATTTTTCTTTTTCTTTCTTTTTTTTTTCTTTTCTTTTTTTTTTTTTGAGACAGGGTTTTGCTCTGTTGCCCAGGCTGCAGTGCAGTGGTGTAATCTTGGCTCACTGCAACCTCCACCTCCTAGGTTCAAGCAATTCTCATGCTTCAGCTACCGAGTAGCTGGGATTATAGGCGTGCACCACTCTACCCGGCTGATTTTTAAATTTTTAGTAGAGACGGGGTTTCAGCATATTGGCCAGGCTGGTCTTGAACTCCTGAACCTCATGTGATCTGTCTGCCTCAGCCTCCCAAAGTGCTGGGATGAAGTTCACTTTTCTGATTTTTTGAGAGTATTGGGAATATCCCATCTTTATAAGCACTTATTTATCTCTTATGTAAATCAATCCAAAAAACACCCCTTTAATTTAAGAGACTTCATAATGTAATTTTTTGATACCCCTGGGAGATAGGAAAATATCCAGTTACAAAGAAAGGTACAATCTTTTGTGAGTTATGACACATAGATGTACATATACATAGTGAGCTTAAAGCTTCAGTTCTGTGTTAGCCACAGGTCAAGAGTTGATACAGAAATACCAAAACACCCTGAAGTAGACATCAAAGAGCTGTTCTCCTTTCTGGTGAGCTTGAAATTCTTGATTGGTTTTTCTCAAAAGAGACAAATAGATAAAAAAGACGAATCAAATTATACATGTTCACTTCACTCAAGGGAAAAATAGATAAGGCCAGGTGCAGTGGCAGGCACCTACAGTCCCAGGCTTGATGGTTGCTAGAGCCCAAGAGTTTGAGGTCAGCCTGGGCAACATAGTGAGACGCTCTGAAAAAAAAATAAAAAGAAAGAAAACAGATACCTATAATCTATTAACCCAGTTTTGGAGACCACCAAATGGTCATACATTAAAATCAATTTCCTAATCTTTTCTGACACCAATCCAATGGGAAATAATTTATCAACCATAAATGAAACAGATATACATAAACAGATAGTAGAAAGGAAGAGAAACCAGAGAAATGGAGAGTTAGCAAAGTTAAACTTCTTTTGTCACTTGGCATTTATCTCCAGGAGCTAAGAAAATATGTGCCTGGACTCAAGCCACTTACTGGATACACTTTCCTGGCAATGTAGCTTACTTACCTCTGTCAGGTGAATTCACTGGGCATTTTGGTAGATCTCCAAAAAGATAATTTTTTAAAAAGGTAAAATAATAACTCCAGTACACATGTAAAATGAACAAGTGTCTGAGATTTTACTTAACCCATTTGTTAATGAAGGAACCAGTAAGATATCACAACCAGTTTCTTATTTTCAGTAATTAAAATATGACATTATAAAGCCATTGTCATATAATGATATTATAAAACCACTATCATGTTATAAAGCCATTGTCAAATGATATTATAAAGCCATTGTCTATGATATCATAAAGCCATTGTCATCGGCAAAAAATGATAAGAAAAAATATTGTAGAGGTATGTCGGGTAGTTAATTACTAAAAACATTTATAATGTAATGACATTATGGTATTTGTTAACTTAAAACTTTTTTTGCATTGTTACTTTTTATGAATACAAAATTTTGTATTCATAATTTTATATTATTTTCTTTTAATAATCCTTCTCCCTAAATTGTATAAGCTTCAGTCTTCACAAAACCTCCTAATAACAGGGAAGGTCATCTGTGGAAGTGGAGGTGGAGGTGGAGGTGGGTGTGAAGGGGAGTATGGTGCAGGTTCCTGTTTCAGGATTTAGAGAGTGGAAAAAGTTTGGAGTAATGATGGTAGAACTAGGCTGGAGAGTCAACCAAGGAAAAGAGTGAAGTGGAGGAGACCTGTCAGGGAGTTCAGCTGAGGTTGAGTAGTGCATCTTTTTTTTTTTTTTTTTTTGAGATGGAGTCTCATTTTGTCACCCAGGCTGGAGTGCAATGGCACAATCTGAGCTCACTGCAACCTCTGCTTCCCGGGTTCAAGCGATTCTCCTGCCTCAGCCTCCAGGGTAGCTGGAATTACAGGCATGCGCCATCACACCCAGCTAATTTTTGTATTTTTAGTAGAGATGGCGTTTCACCATGTTAGCTAGGCTGGTCCCGAACTCCTGACCTCAAGTGATCTGCCCGCCTCGGCCTTCTAAAGTGCTGGGATTACAAGAGTGAGCCACCTGGCCTGCATCTTCATTTCTGATGTGAAGAACATGGGGTGGGGACTCTCTCCTAAATAGCACGGTACCATTTATATTTTGGGTGAGCAGTGAAGATTTGGGAAGATCAGTGTGAGATTCAAGATTTTAAAAATGACTCTGACAGGTGAGGGAATAGTTAATGTCTCTGGCAGAATCTCATTAATCCTTTGATGACTTACTAACATGTGATGTCACTTTTCATTGGGTCTTTACCTTGTCCACCACTGATTTATCTCTTGTTGACACACCTACCCTTATGGTGTTGAGATTCACACATATGTATGCATAGCCTCCTCCATAGGGTCAGATCTCCTTTCCCTCTTGGGGTGGTGTGAAGGCAGACTTACGGTCTTGCCTCAATTAGTGTTCTTAATTATATCTCAGTAGTTGGGGCAGCTTCTCTTTACTTGGGCTGTATTTCATTAAATGTTTGGCCGCAGAACTGAAGTGTGGATGCTGGTGAGTGGAGAGGAAACAGAGGGTGACCTGGCTTTTGCTTTGGGGCAGGCCTTTCCCTAACATCTAGGAAACTTAACACTGTGGATGGCCAAGTGGATAAGTAGTCTCTGAAATCAGTGGGGAGCTGCTGCTTCAACAATGCAGCCAATGAATGCTGATGGCCGAACTCACAATTCACCCTATTACTAACACATCACTCGATAAGGTAAACTGACTGTTTAGGATGGCTGGGGCACAGGAGAAATTATATAAATGTTGATTAATTTGAGGCTTCCTTCCAACTCTCTTTGTAATATCTTGTTTCCTTTACTAGCGAGTTCGGAACATAAGCTACTCTTCACAGTAAACACAGGCCCATGAAAACTTGACAGAAAAGGAGTGGAGGATGTGAACTGGATAGATATGGGATAAAGTAATAAAAGGTAGTTAACATTTAGTCAGCGGTTAATGTGTGCCAGACATTGTAATAACTCGCATATCCAATTAATATCTGTCTATTGCCACTGTCTATTTTCACAATAGCACAAGGCAGATACTATTTTATCTCCATTTTATACAAGAGAAAACTGAGTCTTAGAGAAACTTACTTGTCAGTGTCACACAGTTAGTAAGTGTCAGAGCCAGGATGCAAACCTAAGTATGTCTGAACTCTGAATTCCATGCTTTTTATTCCCATGAGATGCTGAGAGCTCAGTAGATAAAGGTGAGAGTGGGAGGTTATGGGTAGAGAACAGCAGTAGGTTTGAGAAAGAATAAGTGGTCATCAGAGGGGTAAAGCAACAAGTATCTCTTCTGGTGACAGTTTGAAACTACATTGCAAATAATTTGTGTTACTAATAATTTGTTGTTACTAATAATGGAATATTTGTGAGTGACTTACATAAAAATAAATTGGAGAAAATTCAGTATCACTCTTAACTGGATTCTAATGTGTTTCTCTTTAAGTGAGAGGGAAGGAAGTTGAATTACAGATGGTTAACTCCCACCTGTATGTCCTGTGCTGGTGAAGTGATACCAGGTGTGCATCAAGTGTTATGAGAATGAGGTGGAAACAAGGTAAGAATCACCAGACTGAGGACGTTATGCGTGGAGGATGTTGCAGTTCTCATGAATGTTGCTCCCAAATCTCTTCTCCTTTGGCTCCTAGGGTCTTTGAATAGAGGTGAGGGGAGCAAATCTCTACTAAAGTAGACACAGAGATCAGAAGAAACCAGGTCAAAGCTGCTTCCCACCAAGCTGTGTGGTCCCGGGTAAGTCACAGCATTTTTCAGCCTTAGTTCCCCTATCTGTAAAATGCAAGGTGTATATGTGGTATACCTTTTTGACAGGCTTATTGTAAGAATTGAATGAGATTGTTCGTTTAGCTGTGATTACTATTTTGAGAGGTTTGATAGCAAGCAAAACCTCTAGTCTTGGTGGGCCGAAGACCCTGGAAGATGGCATCCTAAGAGCAAATTGAAGCCTGTAACTCCTAAGACTTTCCCCCATCCCTCCCACATAAACTCTCAGTGACCCCACCACCCCCTCCACTGACAAAGACCCTGCCTCTCAAGTGCTTGAACACAACAATCTCCAAACAAACTATTAGGAAAACTTTTAGAGGAGTGAAGACCCCTGACAGGACTGGGCCCATTTTTGGTAACGTGTTGTTGGGATGTTTGAGAATTAGTTTTGAAAGTCATTACTTTTCCCCTAAATGGAATTTTTCCTGGAAGGCCATAAAAATAGAAGAGATTAAAATTTTTACTAGGTTGATCAGGTTACGCACATCCTCTGGCCCAATATATCACAAACAAGAAAACAATAAAAAACATTCATACAGTCTTTTAAGCCAGGGGTCACCTCAACACATCATAAAACATTAGTTCATGACAAGTGAGAGATTGGAATCAGCTGTCCCCATAAACTAGTGCTCATTTGCAGCCTGTGCTTTCAGAGCAGGAGAAAACTTGAAGGGCATGTGGGATTGCACAAATAGGCCTTGTGAACCAGCGAGAACATACTCCCGCCCCAGCCTCTCCCTCCAGACTGCTTGGCTGTTCCAGTGCCCTCCTACCAAGGAAAATTGGATTTTAGTTTGCTTATGACTGCTCTGAACATGTCAGGCCCCATCTGTTCCTGAAGGCATGGAAGATACAGGCATGACATTTTACCCAGAGCCTGAAACCATTAAAATTCAGTCTTTGAAAAGATAAAACTGAAAGAATGATGTTATCAGTAAAAACAATGATTTCCTTTGATGGAAGTTGAACAATTCGGTTGGTGACAATATTTCAGATGTCATTTAAGTTTATTAACTTTTATTCGCATTTCATCCCCTGTGACTGGCTGGGGAGCAGGGTGGAGAGGGATCTTGCTTCCATTGCACCTGACACTCCACTTTGCCCATATTTTATCACAGGATTTGCCATTGACTTGTCTCCCCCATCCAGGCTGTAAATCTACTAAGTGACTCATATATTAGGGTTCAATAAATGTTTGCCTTAATATCCTTGACCTGAATGGGCTCATTAATTCCCCTAGATTTAAAAATCATCCTTTCATTGATATACTTTCATCCCAAGTTATGTTACCTCTCCTTGGCAGTTATCTACTTTACATATTCATGAATCTCTCACAGAAATCTGAAAGTCAAAATATATCTCAAATTCTTCTATTTTGCTTCATTACCTTAGTCCATGCCGGCATCATCTATCATCTGGACATTATAATAGGCTCCGAAATGATCTTGTTTGCAATCTTTTCCCCCACCAACCCATTCTCCCATTCTCTACATAATAGTCTTTTTTTTTTTCTGCATCCACACTCTCCTTCACTTCTTACCTCCCTGTATTAGTTTTAAGCAAATTTTTTATCCAGAACTATTAATACATGTGTGTATGTGTAGTAGATTATATAATATGCAGTTATATACTATAGGTACATATATACACATATATGTACAGACACAAATATACACACTCCTTTTTTGCTAAACATAACCACAATGGTGTTATCATACTTAAAAATGTAATGCTTTAAAATATCAAATATTTTTGAGTCAGTGTTCAGGTTCTCAATTATATTACAAATAGCATAGTTTTGACAGTTTTTAAAATATCAAGATTTGAATAAGATCAATGCATTGTGATTCATTATGTTTCATAAATCTATTTTAATATATAAGTCCTCCCAACCTTGTTTTTTTCCATTACAATTTATTTGTTAAGGAACTGAATTTTTTCTCCTGAATGTCTCATACCCTGGAGTTTGCTTATCACATCTCTATAGTATATTTTAATGTGTCCCTTTGTCCTCAGCATTTCTTATAGATTTGTTGATGGCTTCAGAGGCTAGATTTAGAGAGGCTTAATTCAGGTTTGATTTTTTTTGAGGGAGTGACTACTTCATAGGTGGCATTGTATTCTCCCATGCTGATGCCTGGATATCCCTCACTTAGTGATATTAGCAGATATTAATTAGACGCCTAGATGCATTACTTCATAGGTTGTTATAAAACAGTGATATTCAGATTTTTTTATTCTTTCTTTGTTAATCAGATGGATTATTATACCTCTAAAAAAAAATATCCTCTCATCTACTATTTGGAAAGCAATGTTACTAAAATGAAAATAGAATACTCTGGGTTTGGTAATAACCCTCCCTCTAAAGACAACTAAAAAGCTGGGCAGAAAAAAAAGTCTTAAAAGGAACAATAAGGAAAAACAATAGTGAAGAAATGAAATTGTGATCAGCTTGAGAAAGATAGGCAGCCTCAGTTGCTTCTGCCCAGGTGGTGTTCAAAGATTGGGACTAGGTTACGCTTTTGGCAGGTTAGTGTAGGAAGGAGATAAAAGTTGGAGGCAGGAGGTTAAGACCCTGGAGGACTTCACCATTTGAAAATATTTTTATGCTGGGTACATGTTCCTATTCTAGTGAAAAGGATGAAAAGTAGAGTCACACACTACCATGACAGGGCCAAGGATGAGAATCCTGTGCCCTGTAATGGTGGGAAAATTTTGGAAACACTCCTTGCTCAGGACTCAGATCTCAAAGGGATATTGCTAAGTGTTTGTGTCCTCATCCCAATTTATATGTTGAAATCTTGACTCCAAATCCACCACATTTGATGGTATTAGAAGGCGGATGTATTAGTTCATTCTTGCACTGCTATAAAGAAATACCCAAGACTGGGTCATTTATAAAGAAAAGAGGCTTGATTGGTTCATGGTTCTGCAGGCTGTACAGGAAGCATGATGCTGGCATCTGCTTGGCTTCTGGGGAGACCTCAGGAAACTTACAATCATGGCAGAAGGCAAAGGGGGAGCAGTCATCTTACGTGGTGGGAGCAGGAGCAAGAGAACATGAGGGGGAAGTGCTACACACTTTTAAACAAGCAGATCCCATGATAACTCACTCACTATCATGAGAACAGTACCAAAAGGATGGTGCTAAACCATTCATGAGAAACCAACCCCATGATCCAATCACCTCCCACCAGTTCCCATCACCAACACTGGGGATTACAATTTGACATAAGATTTGGGTGGGGACAAAGATCTAAACCATATCTATCAGTGGAGCTGTTGGGAGGTAATTAGGTCATATGGGTGGAAAGGGATTAATGGGTGGAAGGAAAGGGATTAATGCCCTTATAAGAAGTTTGCTGTCTCCCTGCTCTCTACCATGTGAGGACATAGTAGGAAGATGGCTATCAGCAAACCAAGAAGAGTGCCTCACCAGACACTGGATCTACCAGCACCTTGACCTTGATTGTTTTAGCCTCAAGAACTGTGAGAAATAAGTATTTGTTGTTTAAGCCACCTAGTCTATGGGTAATTTGTTATAGCAGCCCAAATTGACTAAGACAAATGTGGACTATGTTTTAGTAGTTCACCTTGGTGACTCAGAAAACCTTGGTTCCCATCAGGTACCTGACAGAAGGAAAAAAAGTCTCTCTGAAGGAAAATAACACCATCTAAGACTTCAAATTATTTCTATTAATAAGTTAAAAATGGCCTGAGAACTATGAAAAACAATGAGACACACCGAGAGATAAAACAACATAAGCCAGAACCAACAGAAAAAGTAGTTCAAAAGAGGCATCAGATACTAAAATGAAGCTGGGCATGGTGGCTCATGCCTGTAATCCCAGCACTTTGGGAGGCTGAGGCGGGTGGATCATCTGAGGTCAGGAGTTCAAGACTAGCCTGGGCAACATGGTGAAACCCTGTCTCTACTAAAAATACAAAATTACAGGTAATCCCAGCTACTTGGGAGGCTGAGGCAGGAGAATTGATTGAACCCAGGAGGCGGAGGTTGCAGTGAGCTGAGATCATGCCACTGCACTCCAGCCTGGGCAATAGAGTGAGACTCTGTCTGAAAAAAAAAGTACCGAAATGATTCAATATGGATTGTAGAACCACTATGCTTACAATATTCATAGAGATAAAATCTGAGCTTAAAAATCTCAGCTGGGAGCTAGGTACTATAGCGTGACACTGAATGTTTTCCTCCTAATATCAGGACCTAGAAAAGGATATGTGCTCTTGTCACTTCTATTTAACATTGTACTGGAGGTTCTACCCAGGCAATTAGGATAAATAAAGAAATAAGCCAGATAAAACAAAACAAAAAAACCCCTCATGATGCATTAGGATAATCAGTGGAAAAGTGTGTGGAACTCCCAAACTAGTAGATTAAAAAACATAGAATAATAAAAAGTAACCAACCCAAAAGAATACATGAAGGGAGAGGAAAAGGAACATAGAAGAGGTGGCTTAATAAAACACATAATGAGATGACAGATCTAAACTCAGAAATATCAGTAATTTCACTAAATGTAAATGGATCAAATACTCCAGTTAAGAAACAAGGTTTTTTAAAGTTGAATTTAAGAAAAAACCAGTATAGGCTCTTTATAAGAAAAAGATTAAAAACATAAAGTTTCAAAAAGGTTGAAAGTAAAATAATGGGAAAAGATACACCATAGTTAGTTTTATCATAATTTTAAAAAAGTTCATGTAGTTATATTATTATCACACAAGTAGACTTTAAGATAGAAAGTATTATTAGCAATAAAGTGCATCACTTCATAAAAGGTTCAAATCACTAGAAAGATTTTTTAAAAACTGTAGTTTCTGTACACTTTCACAGATTTGTAATTTGTGTGATTTCTTTTCTTATTATTAATAATTTATTTATTTATTTTAAGAGACAAGGTATCGCTTTTTTGCCCAGGCTGATCTTGAATTCCTGGCCTTGAGCAATCCTCCTGCCTTGGCCTCCCAAAGTGCTGGGACTACAGGTGTAAATCACACCTGGCCCCTTTTCTTGTTCTTAATAAACGTAGTTTTTCTACCTAATTTTGTATTCACGATTCTATATTCTTTTGCTTATTTTCATCACAGATTTTTTATTCTTCCTAGTACTTACTATGATTTTAAATTATTTTGTTGTAATTATTTGTTTCCTCTTTTAGGGGAGTGGGAGAGAACTTGCTTTCATTTTAGAATGTAAGCCTTCTGAAAGCACTGAAAATGTATTGCTTACCATTCTAGTTCCAGAACTTATGAAAATGTTGGATGAATGAATGTGGAGGAGTGAATAAAGAAGAATGGAGAAAGGGGGACTATGGAACTAGCACAAATATTCCCAGGGCAGGTATAAGCAAGGGGATGAATCTGGGGCCAAAGTAAAAGACACAGACTTAGGTAAAGGGTGACTCCAGGTAGGGAAATGAGAAAACCATCAAGATTCAGAGGGGAGATGACCCCATGCTTAGGGCAGATTCTGGGCAGCACAGAGGGAGCAAGAGAGGTGGGATGATCCTCATGCAGGGGCCAGATGTGACTCTGCCTAAGGCTGGTGCTGTTTCCCATAAGTGGGTGTTTCCATTCCTGGTCTCTGAAGTGATGAAAATCATGTTCTGAAAACTCACTAAAAGCAAAGCCCCTCTGTTTTTTCCAGCACTAGCTTTTGCCTGAAGTCATTATCTATAAAAGACAGCATGTGGACATGATAAGTTTAAAGGAATTTTCCAGGTGTAACATTTTATTTTTTTTCCTGGCTTGCTTTTTTTTTTTTTTTTTTCCTCAGGCCTTTATTCTCTGAATCATGTAAGCTGGAAATCTGTCATTCTTGATGTTCCCTCTGTCCCATCACTCTTCCAAAGTTTTAATGATAAATATTTCTGTTTCCCCTTACTGATTCCTGTTTTAATCTCCCTGGTTCAGAATTAATCACCTCCTACTTTCTAAGTGGTCTATCTGGTTCTAGTGCAGTCTTCTCACTTTCCTGGTGTTCGGTTTATCTTTCAAGTCACCATCTTGTTCATCATCTGAGTGTTAAAACACATTAAAGACTATCCCAATATCTCAGGATAGAGTCTGAATTCTCTGATTGATCTTTTTTTTAAAAATCATAATTTTTGTGGGTATTTGTATATATTTATGTGGTACATGAGATATTTTGATCCAGGCATACAATGCATAATAATCACACCATGGAGAATGGGATATGTATCCCCTCAAGCATTTATCTTTTGTGTTACAAACAATCCAATTATATTCTTTTTGTTATTTTAAAATGTACAATTAAGTTATTATTGACTATAGTCACCCTGTAGTGCTATTTAATAGTAGGTATTATTCATTCTTTCTACTTTCTTTGTACCCATTAACCACGCCCACCTCTCCCCCAGGCCCCCACTACCCTTCTCAGCTTCTGGTAACCACCCTTCTACTCTGTCTCTAAGAGTTCAATTGTTTTGATTTTTATATCCCACAAATAAGTGTCTTCTTGATCTTTAAGGGCTCCCAGATTTCTGTCTTAATCAACCATCCACCTTATCTCTTACTACTTCCCTGAAAAAAACTTCTGCTCCCTCCAAACTGGTTTGGTTATTATTTTCCTCAATATATCATGTTCCTTTTGATTGCCATACTTTTGATGATTTCTTCTTTCCTCCTTGTAATGCCCTATTCATCATCTTCCATCAGGGATCTTATATTAGTCCATTCTTGCACTTCTATAAAGAAATACCTGATACTGGGTAATTTAAAAAGAAAAAAGGTTAAATTGGCTCATGGTTCTACAGGCTGTACAGAATGCATGATAGCTTCTGGGGGGTGCCTCAGGAAAGCTCCAATCATGGTGGAAGGCAAAGGGAAAGCAGGCAGGTCTTACATGACTGGAACAGGAGAAAGAGAGAGATGCAGGAGGTCTCACACACTTTTAAACAACTAGATCTTGTGAGAAGTCCCTCACTATTATGAGAACAGCATCTGTGATTCATCACCTCCCACAAGGTCCCACCTCCAATATTGGGAATTACAATTCAACATGAAATTTGGGTCAGGGCGCAGATGCAAACTATATCATTCCGCCCCTGGCCTCTCCCAAATCTCATGTCCTCTCACATTGCAAAATACAGTCATGCTTTTCCAACAGTCCTCCAAAGTCTTGACTCATTCCAGCATTAACTCAAAAGTCCAAAGTTTCATCTGAGACAAGGCTAGTCTCTTCTGCCTATGAGCCTGTAAAATAAAAAACAAGTTAGTTATTTCCAAGATACAAAAGAGGTATAGGCATTGGGTAAATACTCCTAATCCAAAAGGGATAGATTGGCCAAAACAAAGGGGTTACAGGCCCATACAGTCCACAACCCAGCAGGGCAGTCATGAAATTAAAAAAAATTTTTTTTGAGATTGCTCTTGTTGCCCAGGAGTGCAATGGTGTGATCTCAGCCTCATCGCAACCTCTGCCTCCCAGATTAAAGCGATTCTCCTGCCTCAGCCTTCCTGAGTAGCTGGGATTACAGGCATGTGCCACCACACCTGGCTAATTTTGTATTTTTAGTAGAGATGGGTTTCTCTATGTTGGTCAGGCTGGTCTTGAACTCCTGACCTCAGGTGATCCACCCACCTCAGCCTCCCAAAGTGCTGGGATTACAGGCATGAGCCACCATGCCCGGCTCATTAAATCTTAAAGCTCCAGAATAATCTACTTTGACTTCGTGTCTCACATCCAGGGCACACTGATGCAAAGGGTGGACTCCCAAAACCTTGGGCAGCTCCTTGCCTGAGACTTTGCAGGGTACAGCCACCGTAGCTGCTTGCACAGGCTGGTGTTGAATGCCTGTGGCTTTTCCAGGTACATGGTGCAAGCTGTCAGTGAATCTACCATTCTGGGGTCTAGAGGATGGTGGCCCTCTTCTCACAGCTTCATGAGGCAGTGCCCCAGTGGGGTCTATGTGTGGGGGCTCCAACCCCACATTTCCCCTCTGCACTGCCCTAGTAGAGGTTCTTCCTGAGGACTTTGCCCCTGCAGCAGGCTTCTGCCTTGACATCGAGGCTTTTCCATACATTCTCTGAAATCCAGGTAGAGGCTTCCAAGCCTCAGCTCTTGCACTCTGTGCGCCTGTAGGCTTAACACCACGTGAAAGCTGTCAAGGCTTGTAGTTTGCACCCTCTGAAGCAGTGGTCCAAGCTCTACCTTGGCCCTATTTAGCCAGAGCTGGAGCTGGAGTGCCTGGGATGCAGAGCGTCATGTCCTGAGGCTGTACAGAGCAGTGGGGCTCTGGGCATGGCTAGCAAAACCATTCTTCCCTCCTAGACCTTGTAGTCTTCCATTGATGCCTTCCCACTTGAGGAAGCAGTTACCTCTTCCAGCCTTTACAGACAAACTGAATTCAAAAAGGAATGACCTTCATCAGACAACCTGGCTAGAGATTCTAGAGGTCTCTCAAACCTCAGTGGATGCACCCCCATATTCCTCTTGCTCCCTATTGAGGAGAGGTAAGTCTTACGTTTGTGTGGTTTTTCTTAATCCCACAGAGTCACGTTAGGTGCTGAGAGCCACCCATTTCTTCTCCCTAGGGTAGTACCCTTATATGCCAAGACACTGGATGCAAGCTCTCCTTCTCTCCTTCTCCTGTAAAGGGGATGTTTCAAAATTGAATGCCTTCCCAAAATCCTGCAGAGTCAAGCCTGGCTTCAGGGGCACCTAAAGTGTGCCATTTTATTGGCCCTTTTATTATTATATAGTGACCATAAAGCTCCTGGAACTGACACTTCCCACCTCACCAAATGAAGATCTATAAATGGCGTGAGAAAGAATTCCAAATTATCATCCTAAAGAAACTTAGTAAGTTATAAGAGAACAACTGTATAGATGACTAAATCAAATTAGGAAAACAATACATGAACAAAATAAGTTCAATAAAGAGATAGAAACCATAAAAAAGAGCCAAACAAATTTGGGAGCTAAAGAATACGATGACCAAATAGAAAAGTTCAGTAGAGAGCTTCAATAGCAGACTGATCAAGCAGAAGAAAGAATCAGCAAACTCAAAGGCAGGTGATTTGAAATTATCCAATCAGAGGGGCCAAAAAAAAAAAAAAAAAAAAAAAAAAAGAGAGAGAGAGAATAGAAAATAGTGATAGAAGCCCGCAGGACTTATGGGATACCTCAAAGCAAACCAATTGCACATTATGGGAATATCATAAGGAGAAAAAATGTGAAAGGGGAAGAAAGCTTATTTAAACAAATAATGCCTGAAAATTTTCCAATTCTAGGGAGGGAAATGGACCTCCAAATTGATGAAGCTCAAAGGACCCAAATAGGTTGAACCTTAAGAAGTCAGTCTATACCAAGAGACACTATAATTAAATTATCAAAAGTCAAAGACAAAAAAAGAATTTTGAAAGCATCAAGAGAAAGGTGACTCATCACACACAAGGGAATCATCATAAGACTATTGATGGGTTTCTCAACAGAAATCTTTTAGACCAGAAGACAGTGGGATGACATATTCAAAATGCTAAAAGAAAGGAAAACTGCCAATCATGAACAGTATACCCAGCCAAACTATCCTTAAAAAATGAAGGAGAGATACTTTCCCAGACAAACCAAAACTGAGGGAGTTTGTCACTACTAGACTTGGCTTACAAGAAGTACTAGGGGGAATTTTTCAAGTTGAAATGAAAAGATACCAAATGGCAACACAAAAGCATATGAAAGTATAAATCTCACTGGTAAATGTAAGTATATGGGCAAATACAGAACAATGTAATATTGTAATATTACAAACCACTTTTAAATCTAGCATAAAAGTTAAAAGGGAGAGGTACCTATAGCTACAATAATTTGTTAATGGATACACATTGTAAGAAGACATAAACTGTGACATCAATAGCATAAAATGTGGGTGAGGGAGAAAAGTAGTTTTTGTACATGAATGAAATAAAGATGTCATCAGCTTAAAATGACTGTTATATGATGTTTTATGCAAACTTCATGGTAACCATAAAGAAAAAAAGCCTCTAATAGATACACAGAAGGTAAAGAGAAAAGAACCAAAGCATACTACTACCAGAAAAAAATAAGAAATCACAAAGGAAGACAGCAAGAAAGGAAGAAAGAAAAAAAAAAAACCCTACAAAACCATCAGAAAACAGTGAACAAAATGGCTGTAGTGAGTTCTTACCTATCAGTAATTACTTTAAATGTAAATGGATTAAGTTCTTCAATCAAAAGACACAGTGGCTGAATGAATGAAAAAATGATTCAACAATATTCTATCTAGAAGAGACTCACTTTAGCTGTAAGGACACATATAGACAATATAAAGGGATGGAAAAATATATTTCATGCAAATAGTAACCAAATGAGAGTAGGGGTGCCTGTATTTATATTAAACTTTCTGTCAAAATCTGTCACAAGAGACAAAGATGGTTACTATATAATAATAAAAAGGCCAATTCATCAAGGGGATATGATAATCATAAATATATATTCACCAAATATTGGAGCACTTAAACATATGAATGATCGTTGGGTCAAAAATGAAATCGAGATGGCAATTAAAAAATTCTTGGAACTGAATGACAATAGTGATACAACCTATCAGAACCTCTGGGACATAGCAAAGGTGGTGCTAAGAGGAAAGTTCATAGCCCTAAACACCTACATCAAAAAATCGGAAAGAGCACTAACAGACAATCTAAGGTCACACCTCAAGGAACTAGAGAAACAAGAACAAACCAAACCTAAACCCAGCAGAAGAAAGGAACCAAGATCAGAGCAGAATGAAATGAAATGAAATTGAAACAAAAAAAATTACAAAAGATAAATGAAACAAAATGCTAGTTCTTTGAAAATATAAATAAAATTGATAGGCCATTAGCAAGATTAACCAAGAAAATAAGAGAGAAAATCTAGAAAAGCCTAATAAGAAACAAAACAGGAGATATTATAACTGACACCACAGAAATACAAAAGATCATTCAAGGCTAATATTAACACCTTTATGTGCATAAACTAGAAAACCTAGAAGAAACGGCTACATTCCTG